TTGTCCCTACATTTTCTTCTAGAAGTTATACGGTTTCAGGTCTTGTCTTTAAGTCTTTAATCTCCATTGCCATTCCTTTCTCCAGGAAGTCTTTAATTTATTTCAAGTTAATTTTGTGACTGGTGTAAGATACAAATCCAACTTCATTCTTTTGCATGAAATTACCCAGTTTTCTGGGCTTCCCAGGTAGCAGCAGTGGTAAAGAACTGGCCTGCCAATGCAGGAGAGATAGAGATGCAGGTTTGATCCCTGGGTTCGGAAGATACGCTGGAGGAGGTCATGGCAACCCACTCCAGTATTCTTGCCTGGAGAATCCTGTGGACAGAGGAGCCAGGCAGACTATAGTCCATAGGATTACAAAGAGTCAGACACAACTGAAGTGACTTAGCACACATGCATCCAGTTTTCCAACACCATTTATTGAAGAGACTATCCTTTCCCCATTGAGTATTCTTGTCTATCTTGTAAATTATTAGTTGTGGGTGGGTATGTGTGTGCTAAGTTGCTTCAGTCATCTCTGACTCTTTGTGACCTCATTAACTGCAGCCTGCCAAACTCCTCTGACCATGGGATTCTCCAGGCAAGAATATTGCAGTGGGTTGCAGTGTCCCCCTCTAGGGAATCTTCCCAACTCAGGGATCAAATCAGCATCTCTTACTTCTCCCGCATTGGCAGGCAGGTTGTTTACCACTAGCGCCACCTGAGAAGCCCATAAGTTGTCCATATATGCATGATTTTGGGAGAAGGGGACTCTTGATTCTGTTCCGTTGTCCATTTTTATGATAGTACCACACTCTTTTGATTACTATAACTTTGTGATATCGTTTGAAATCAGGATGTGTGATTTCTCCAGCTTTGTTCTTCTTTCCAGGATTGCTTTGGCTTTTGAAGATATTTTGTGGTTCATACAAATTTTCGATTATTTGCTCTATTTCTATGAAAAATGTTACTGAAATTTTGATGGAGATTGCATTGAAGCTGTAGATGGCTTTGGGTAGTATGGACGTTTTAATAATATTAATTTTTTGATCCATGAACACAGTATATCTTTCCATTTAATTGTTTCTTTCAATTTCTTTCATCAAAGTCTTAGAGTTTTCAGTGTACAGTTCTTTCACCTCTTTGGTTAAATGTATTACTATTTTATTGTTTTTGATGCTTTTAGAAATGAGATTTTTTTCATTTCTTTTTTAGATATTCTGTTGTTGGTATATAGAAAGGCAATTGATTTTTGTATAATTTTGTAACCTGAACACATCATTTTTCCAAAGGTGTAATGATTATCATTTTAAACAGTATTTCATGTTGTATATAATACATAAAACACTCTCAAATTGTTCAAAAAAATGTTGCTATGATCATGTAAAGCTGGCAGTGTTCTTTGGGATCTTACAGAATTCTCAGATTCTCAGGAGATTAATTTGGAGATGAAATGGGCTAACATGGGAATCAGTCTCTGGAGCTAGGTTGTTGACAACAATTTTTAGCCTTTTTCCTTTAAACCAGGGGTCCCCAACCTCCAGGCCATGAACTGATAACTCCTGTCAGATAAGCAGTGGCATTAGATTAGAAATAAAGTAAGGAATAAATATAATGCACTTGAATCATCCCCAAACCATCTCTTCCACCCTCCTTCTGTGGAAAAGTTGTTTTCTATGAAACCAGTCCCCTCACCAAAAAGTCTGGGAACCACTGCTTTAAACATAAAAAATTCATAAACCTCATGGTAATGCAAGTCAAAACCGTTGGGGAAATTTCATCACCCTAACATATTTCATCACCCTAACAAGTGAACTGGCAACCCACTCCAGTACTCTTGCCTGGAAAACCCCATGGAAGGAGGAGCATGATAGGCTACAGTCCATGGGTCGAAAAGAGTCAGACATGACTGAGCGACTTCAGTCACTCACTCAACAAATGAACCATATTCATTTTTACACGTTTAGTCCATATGTCTTTTAATGGTGATTGACACATACCCTTGAAATTACAAATTGGCAACACAAATACAGATTGCTTTTGAGCTATAAGAGATGCTTGCATAGCATTTGAGGGGTAACACCACACAAGAAGTTTCATTGTCGTTAAAAACTTTTCTGACACTTATAGCAACATTAAAAAAGATCATAATCTGGAGCTGCCCTGGTGGCTCAGTAGTAAAGACTCCATCTGCCAATGCAGAAAACCCAAGTTCCATCCCTGGTACGGGAAGATTCCACATGCTGTGGGGCAAATAACCCCGTGTGCCACAATTATTGAGCCTGTGCTCTAGAGCCTGGGAGCTGCAACTACTGAGCCTACATGCCTCAACTACTGAGGCCACACACCCTAGAGTCATTCTCTGCAAGAAGAGAAGCCACTCCAATGAGAAGCCCATGCACGTCAACTAGAGTATAGGTCCTGTTGCCCACAACTAGAGGAAAGCCTGAACAGCAATGAAGACCCACCACAGCTAAAATGAATAAATAATTTTTAAAATGTGCTTATTAAAAGAAACATAGTCTGTGTATACATCTCCTGTTGGAGATTACAGTTCAGAGAACAAATGAAGATCATGGTTTGTTCACTACTGTGTACCTTGTACATAAAGGACAATATCTGTTGGAAAAGTGAATGAGATTGATAAAGATGGGCGTCTGACTACTGGAGACTGAGACCAAGAGGGAAAGGAAAGTTAGCTATTCTCCAAGCTTCTCTCTGACCTGACTAGTGACAGTCTTGCATGAGAAGGGGTATAAAGGGGTAGGTATAGGACACCACCATGAATTTACTCAATGTAACTCTCTGGAGTCCTTGTCCACTTCTGGCCACCTAAGGCTCTCATCTCCACTTATCTAGAGACCAGAGGAAGAAACACTGTGAGAGTTTTGAGAAGTCCTATTCTTTCACAGTAGCCAGAGATTCAAGAAGGTCTATAGCAGACCAGAGTAACAGGCTGGTCCACAAGAGGTGCCCTAGGGAGCACCCTGTGCAGTTAGGGGTCTGAGGACCTGAGGTAATTTGGAGACAGCCAGTTGTTAAATATTTAGCCTCGCACCACTGAGTAGAGGCCTGTGCTGGGACAAAGAGCTCTGTGGAGACTTCATGACTGAAAACAAATGGACAAAACCATCAACTCCCTCAGCGGTAACAGCACAATATCTTAAATGGCAGAGAGGAAGAAAACATATGAGCTAAAAGTTCATCATCAAGGAATAAGACCAAACTAGTCCTTCCAGAACAGTGACTAAGAAGGATCCTGGACACCCCCTAGATTGCAGGCTCTTCCCCTTACTGCCCCAGAATTCTACAATTCCTATCACTGAGCCACTATCTTCCCAAAGTCACTGATCATCTATCTACCCTCATTACTAAGTCATTCAAGAGACTTTAAAAGCCAAGACTGAGAGATTTTTGATCATTTAATTCAGCATTTTTCAAAGTCTAACTAAAAAACATAGAGCTTTACAAAATCTCCTTGTAAAGTGGGAAAACGAATTTATTTATTAAATAAATAAATGCCCTGGGCCCAGCTCCAGGGCATGTGGGGAAGAAAGGGGAGGGGTATCTTAATTCCTCTACTAGAGATTGAACCCATGTTCCCATGTAGTGAAAGGAGTGAGTCTTAACCATCTGATGGCTAGGGAAATTCAGGAAAATGAGTTTGTTAGACCTGGCATTTTTGTATCAATATTTATAGAAAAAGGAGAAAAGTTTTAAAAAATGGTGAGAAACGCTGTTTTACACTAGAGTATAGATACTTCTATTTTCTGTACACCTCAAGATTATGCTATTCTTGATCTGGTATATATTAGACTCTGATTGAGGAGGGACTATATAAATAAATAAGTAACAAAAAATAAATAAGCAGGATGTTATTCTCAGTTCCAAAAAAGTCATCATTAAATTTGGAAATGGTGTCTTAGTAATAGTTCTGATAGGGGTGGGCCAAAGTTAAGTGTGTCTATTGCATTCATACTTGGAGCTTTTTTAAAATAGTGATTTCACATTTATATATGGCAATTCTGACCTGGTTACATCAAAGTGACTTTAAAAATGCACTGTTTCAGACCTGTGTCCTAAATGACCTTCTGTCTTCACCATTCTACTCCCTCCTCCTTAAACCTTCAGCATAAAGAAGACAGGAGTTTTGCCAATGACAGTGGTCACTAATGTCTTCATTCATAAACAACCATGACCACATGCTTTATACAGGTAGTAGGGGTAGAGGTAAATAAAGTCTATGCAAATTCTTTTCCTTCATCATATTTCTGGGGGTATGGTAAAAACAATTCTAGGCATCAGCTACCTCTTTATGGTTGAAAATACCCTTTTGCCAGCTGCATAATGTGAAAATACTATAGCTTAGAATAGGAACTAGGCAGCAGTTCTGTCTTTTGCAGTCAAGTTCCTCATATGCCTGACATGTGGTGGTTTTCTTCTGCAAAAGTAGTAGGAGGTAGAGCAGGAAAGCAAGAAGAAAAGACGGAAGTCAGGAGAGTCATTCGTTAAATTAATATTTATTGAGCCCTACTATATTCCAACTGTTGTTCTAGGCACTGTTGATAGAAACAAAGCCAGGATCCTTGCAAAGATCCTGCTTTGAGCTTGAGTTCTAACGAGGTAGAAATGAATAAAGTTTTATCACAGAGTATGTTGCACATGAGTATAGGAGCTATTTTTGCACAATGACAGGCTCACATTTAAGCCTACTGTATGCTTTTGGTAGCCATGTTGGGAACTTACTGTAGATCTTAATTACATGTACCCACCAATGAGAACTCTTCTAGAAATTGTGATGTTATTTTAAACTTATTTACTTACTTTTGGCTACGCTGGGTCTTTGTTGCTGTTCGGGCTTTTCTCTAGCTGTGGTGAGTTGAGGTGTGCACTCTCTAGTTGAGGTGTGCGGGCTTCTCATTGTGGCGGCTTCTCTCGTTGCAGAGCAGCAGCTCAGGCATTGTGGCTCCCAGGCTCCAGAGCTGCAGGCTCAATAGTTGTAGCGAATGGGCTTAGTTGCTCTGCATGTGGGATCTTTCTGGACCAGGGATGGAACCCATGTCTCCTGCATTGGTAGGCAGATTCTTTAGGTATATGTTTGGTTGCTGGCATTCAGGGAGCAGGAAAGGGACGTGGCTAGGGCTTCTGCGGTTCAGCATATAGCTTCTTATACAATACACCAGTTTTCAACTCAGTGACTTGTCCTTGCCCTGTGTGTGGCTTGGTCTCCAAGTTCAGAGCCTTTTGGGTTAATTTCTCCAGAGTACGAACTTCCATTCTCCTGAGCAGTGGTGAGTAGAGAGGGGGAATATCTACCTGGCTGCTTAGAGTTGGAAGGGGACCCAGGACTAGGGATTCAACCATTTTCCACACTTGTCCACCAATCCCACTAATTTTAAAAGTCACATCTTCACTTCACCTTTTGTGGTACTTGCTACCTCCAAACATTGAGACTTTCAGTATTAGCTCATTCATTGAAATTCCCCTCTGAAATGCTTAGATTTCCACTCCCTCTGCTCTCTTAGTTATTACTACATTCACTTTCCATCTTCTGTAAATTTGTTAAATATTTTTGGTTTCTGTTTCCCCTCCAACTTGTATTTCTTTACTGTTATTTTATTGGTGCTTGAGAGGAGGAATAGACGTGTGGTCACTCTGCCATGTCTTTCTTCCTTTATCTAGTTAACTTAATTTTTAATCCCAGGCATTATGACAGTTAGCATCCCAGTAATTGGCTGTAGGAATAAAAACTCCCAGGAAAGGTTTAACAGTTGAGCAGGTTGTTGAAGGAGCTTGAGTCATTTTTTAATTGTTTTAAATACTCATTTATTTGGCTGTGCCAAGTCTTAGTTGTGGCACATGGAATCTTCGATCTTCACTGCTGCTTTGTGAGATCCTTAGTTGCGGCATGTGAACTCTTAGTTGCAGGATGTGGGATCTATTTCCCTGACCAGGGATTGAACCCAGAACCCCTGCACTGGTAGCACAGAATATAGACACTGAACCACCAGGGAAGTCCTTGAGTCACTTTTTTTTCCAGTCACTTTTTAGTGAAAGAAACCCTGTGCAAACAGGCTCAAGCAAAAGAAAAACTGGTTGGCTCATGCCAGTTGGGAGATTCAGGGAACTGAAAGAACAATTTTGGTCTAAAAGAGAAATTCAGAGAAATAATCTATTATATAGGAGGAACATAAGCTATCTATATTAATTAGTATAAATAAAATAAGTTAATAAATTCAAGACAAAGTAACATGTCAGCTAGAAATTTTGGAAGGAGACAAACAAGAAGAGAAACAGGTAGAAATTGCAGAATGTCTCTATTTTTGTGAACACAAAAGCAAGGGCAGTGAAGAACACAGTGGAAATAAGTCTGGTGTGGTTCAAGCTTCACTCAGGTTGTGATATGTACGCTCTTTCCCCACAGTAGTTCTAGCAATAGAACATACTCTTTATCATAATGACAAAGACCACATGCACACTAAGTAAATAACTATAGGGCAAAGTCATAGGTAGTCTCACTAGCTGAACCTTGGGGAACTATCTAGAGAGGAATTTTGGAAATGATTTGGAAGTGTTTGACCGCAGATACAAGAGTAGTATCATGAAGAAAATAATTTGCTTGTAAAAAGGATTATCTAGACCCTATGGACTTGAGAGAGCTTCTAGGTAATTCCAACCTGGTATCTTTCTCCCTGACTTTGGTCAAAGTTAATGAAGACAATAAATCATGTGCTTGCATGTTCTAATTGTCTCAACAGTTGTTTCATTTGCACAAATGCCTGAAGGAAATTCAAGGAATCCAGGATTGGGAAATAGTGAGACTTTTTACTCCTGGTGAGCTGGGCAAGGGCATCCCTGGTGTGTCAGACAGTAAAGAATCTGCCTGCAATGCAAGAAACTCAGGTAAATAAGTCTGGGACTGGAGCAATTGAACCTACTGCTTCAGAGCAGATGGTAGGAGAGAAAAAGGAGTTAACATGGAGTGGGCTTTAGATATTACTGGATCCAGGGGCTTAAATGATGTCATCAGGGCTGTTTCCCTACCTCCTAGCTCTGCTCATCTCTTGAAGTTTCATCCTGGGTTTCTCAAGTCCCAGATGTTTATGCTTCCAGCTTAGCAAATCCAGAAAAGAGAGAAGCCTTTCCCAATAGCTCTGACGAAAAATTCCTGAAGGTGATTCTGATGTTCTGCTGGGATACCTGTACATCTCTGAAATAAGAAATGACAGTCAGGAAATGGGTAACTCTGGTTGGCCTCATCTGGCCACTTGTGCCCTCTTGTGATGATGGTCATGTGGCCCTGAAAGCTCAGCCCCAACTAAGATACCTGCATTGAGTTCCTAACAGGAAAGAAGAGCTCTAGTCTAAAGGGAAGGAAACAGACTATTAAAAATAAATGATGTCCATTACAGATTCATTCAGTACCTGTGGAATAGAATCTTATCCTGTGTGCTAGCAAGCATGGTCCCCACCAGAGATTATATCATTTGATATAAAACATTCCAAGCTTTTAGAATAAACATGGAATGGACTTGTTCTAAGAAATAATTAAGTAAAATTTAATTTAGTGTGATGACCATAGTACCTGTAGAAAGGTTGCTATTACAGCTTCATTTATTAGGCTTCATAAATATGAGCTTAAAAAATTGCTAGCTGTGAACACGGAGACCATGGAAGTGGCTAACAGAGGAGGAATAATTTTAGAGGAGATGATGTGCCCCTCTGACTTGTCAATGCCCAGACTTCTCCAACCTAGTCTTCATCTCAATGTTCTCCTTATCAAGTTTTTAATCCAATTTTTTCCTGACTGAAAAAGAACATAATGGTTTCATGTATGTAAATTATACCTAAAAATGGTTACTTATAACGAAAAAAGAATTTTACCAACTTTTCTGAAATATTTATTTTATAAAGTGAGGAATACCTAGCAAATATAAAACTGGAACTGCAAGATATTTTTTATTAATCAGATATAGTCTGAATGTTCTCACACCTATTAGCCTACGGGAACCAAAAGAGTCACATCAACAATAAACGTGTACCCAAAAGACTGCAATAACTTCCTCTCACAAAATCTTCACCAGTTAATTTGGGAGTTGTGACTGGGTATTTTGCACGCACTTAGGAATAAATCTGCTCATGTTCCTGTCTTGGCCTAATCTCCTGGTGGAAGTCCCTTGTTCAAAATCTGCTTGAAGGAGTCACCAGCCCTGTTGCTGGAACTCACCAGATAAATTCTGCTTTTTGTCTGCTGAATTCCACACAGCACTTATTGTACTTGCTTTGCTCCACTTATGCAGAAATGAAGACGATATCCCCAGCCCACTCTGTTCTTTGTTACTTGGGTCTGACAGATTCTTGTTCACAATCTGCTCTCTTTTCCTTTCTTTCTCAGTTTTCAAATCACCCAAACCTCCAACCAACACCTTTGTTTACAGATTCAAATATATGCCCCAGAACCATCATTCTCTTTGCCAAAGTGGAGGTCCACTGGATCACATGCTTTTCAGATAGAATGCTTTTCAGAATAATGTCATTGAGACTTACAAAATTAGCTTTTAATCATCCCGTAGTAATGGAGCAGGGAACAGAATGGCTATGTAAATGATGACAATGGTCTTATTCTTTCCTAATCCTACAGTGGTTGAATAGCCTACACTCTTTGTTCTGTGTTCTATACTGGCCGTGTTGCTCATCACACATTCATAAACAGAAGTTCTATTTCTTGGGCTCATTTCCATTAAATGATAGAATGAACACTGTAAGTTCGGTTCATTCAGTTGCTCAGTCATGTCCAACTCTTTGCAGTCCCATGGACTGCATCATGCCAGGCTTCTCTGTCCATCACCAACTACTGTAGCTTGCTCAAACTCATGTCCATCAAACTCATGACCATAGAGTCGGTGATGCCACCTATCTCATCCTCTGTTGTCCCCTTCTCCTCCTGCCTTCAATCTTTCCTAGCATCAGGGTCTTTTCCGAGGAGTCAGGCTCTTCGAATCAGGTGGCCAAAGTATTGGAGCTTCAGTTTTAGCATCAGTCCTTCCAATGAATATTCAGGACTGATTTCCTTTAGGACTGGTTTGATCTCCTTGCAGTCCAAGGGACTCTCAAGAGTCTTCTCCAAGGCCACAGTTCAAAAGCATCAATTCTTGGGCACTCAGCCTTCTTTATGGTCCAACTCTCACATCCATATGTGACTACTTGAAAAACCATAGCTTTGACTATATAGATCTTTGGCAGCACAGTGATGTCTCTGCTTTTTAATATGTTGTCTAGGTTTGTCATAGCTTTTCTTCCAAGGAGCAAGCATCTTTTATTTTCATGACTGCAGTCATCATCTGCAATGGTTTTGGAGCCCAAGAAAATGAAGTCTGTCATTGTTACATTGTTTCCCCATTTATTCTGCAAATGTTATATGCTATAATCCCTAATACTTTTTTTTTTTTTAACAAAATTGGGCATTGTCAAAATGTTTTCAGTAACTTTCTCATTGAAGTCAAACATACATTAAGTTCTTACTCAAATCCAGTCATGGAGATTGGTGATGGAATAATTCTGAATTCACTTTTTTCTTGTATGAAGTTCCTTTCCTTTGAAATTGTGGCAACTCTGAATGTGAACTGAGTCAAGAAGCATTCTGCAGAATAAGAGTCACATGCAGTATTAATGAATCACTGTGTCCTTCTTCCTCATCTGAATCACATATCAATTTGGCTTTATGAGTTTTTTAAAAATGATTTTGTAACCATCTAAATAAAGTTTCTTTTGATGATATGTTTGTAGTGGGGAGATAAACATTATTTCTAATAGTGAAATGTATCAATATAATAATCTTTAAAGATTTAAATTCCTTAGAAGATTTTGTAAATCCTAACAGTCCTTAATTTTAACACTCTTAATATTTTCATTTCAAAAATATTAAAGAGAATGTTTACAAGCTTCAGAAACTTCATCATCCTATTACAAATGCTTTTAAAAATCTTCCAAATTGCCTTCCAGCTTTGCCTCTATGTGCATAGGTTTTACATAACTGTGATCACAGATATATATACTATATATATAGTTCATCTAATAAGGATTCTCAACAAGAGGTGATTCCCACTCCCCCTGGGAGACAATTGGAAATGTCTGGAGACATTTTTGATTGTCTTTACTAGGGGCAGGAGTACACTACTGGCATCTCATGGGTAGAAGCCAGGGATGCTGCTAAACATATTACAAAGTATAAGCCCCTCTCAAAAAAATGAATGATCCAGTCCAAAATGCCAATAGTCCCAAGATTAAGAAACCCTTGTACATACACACACATTTGTATTATGCTTTTCAAAACTGTTAAATAATACATCCCTTTTTGTAACAAGATTCTTAGAGTTATTCCTCATTTTATCTATTTGACAATCATAATTTATGTAAATGATTCCCCGCTCTCAGATATAGATAATGTGAGCACCTTCATGTACATAGCTTTTAAATTTGTTTGGATTAAACCTAAATTATTATGAGTAAAATTACTTTGATAAATGGTATTATTTTATGGCTCAAACTTGGTATAGGGACCTTATAAACATTAGCTTAGCAAAACACATTCATTATTAATAGCTTATTAATGAGAATTGAAGTTTGCCTTTAATTACAGTTTCTAATGCTCTGATTTTGTAAGTGGGAAGTAATGGTGCTGGGTGAAGATTTTATCTGACAGTTTCAGCCTTTGAATAGGCAATGTGATTTCAGGAGCAGAGGATTTCTCTTTCCCATATTACCTTCCTCACTGTTTTATGAAATATCACTTAAGTCCATGGGAGGAAAAAAACCATCTGCCTTAGCCTTCTCTAAAATATAAGTACTCGGACTTCTCTCATGGTTCAGTGGTTAAGACTCCACGCTTCCACTGCAGGGTTTCAATCCCTGGTCAGGGAGCTAAGGTCCCACATGCCACATGTTGGTCAAAAAAAAAGAAACGCACATCTATATATATATACACACACTGACATGGATCCAGAGAGAGCTGTGATGGTGTCTTATTCATCTTTGTATCTTTAGTGCACAACTTCAGGTTGAAAATGTACATTATTATAAACATTTATTGAATGGTCAGAGAGGGGTAAGAGCAGTAACACATGAAGTGACTAACTGAATGTGTCTGACTTTACTGGGGCTGATGATAGCATAGAAAGTTTGGTGTTCCCATAAAACAATTAGCATTCGTGTTATGATTCGTTCTTATACTTATCATTATACTTAATGATTTAAGAATTGTTGCCCTTGCTATCAGACTCTGCTAGAAATATCTGCTAAGGTTGGTGGTAGAAGCCAACATATTAAAGATCTGGGAACAAATACATTCCTCTTCCTCTCGGCCAGGATGTAAAAGCACTCTCTAGCAAGATAACATTGGTTTTTGTTTAGCAGGGACACAAAGGCATTAAAAATTAATTAACTGATTGATGAATTTTTAATAACTAGGGAATACATATACACAGCACAAAAGCTGAAAAGTATAAAATAATATATAAAATATTTTTTCAAATTGGGATTTCCAGCAATCCAGTTTCCCTCCCTGGAGGGTCTGACATGGATATGCTAGGTTTAGTCTAGAAACTGCCATAGACAACAGGACACCAAATAAAGTACACAAGCAAAGTATGAGTTTGCCTCTCTCATGTAACAGTCTGTAAGTACATGGGGGTGGCGCTGCTCTACAAAAACCATTCCAAGACCAGGTGCCTTTAATTTGCTATTCTGCTCTTTTGGTGTTGTGCATGGTGAAAGCTAACTTGGCAGCACATCTGTACTCCAGCCATATAGGAAAAAGAAAGGTCATGAAAGTCAAACAATTTCTTTTTAAACCAATGGTGCAGAAGTTGCACCATCATTTCTACTTATATTCCACTGGTAAGAATTTTCTCATGTGGCCATGTTTAGCTACAAGGCATGCTGGGAAGTGAAGTCTTTAGCTGGGTGGCTGTATGCCTAGCTGAAAATGCAGAAGAGAACTGAATTTATAGTTATGAGTGTCTATAAATAAGAATTCTTTCCAAATGTGGCAGTAGTATCAACTGGATTATGAATCACTGAATCTGTCCCACTACTGAACTATGAAGTCTGGCATGTCAGAACTTAATCTATCTAAAATACCAGGAGATAAACAGCAATCAGTAAATACTTGATGATTTGATCCATTTCATTTGTAGATTGTTTTCTTTAACCCATTCTTCTCTTTCTTATTTGAATCTCTAAGACTGTTGTTATTCAGTCGCTCAGTCAGGTCTGACTTTTTGCAACCCCATGCACTGCAGCACACCAGGCTTCCCTGTCCTTCACTATTTCCCGGAGTTTGCTCAAACTCATGTCCATTGAATCAGTGATGCCATCCAATCATCTCGTCCTCTGTGTCCCCTTCTCCTCCTACTTTCAGTCTTTCCCAGCATCAGGGTCTTTTCCAAAGAGTCAGCTCTTCACATCAGGTGTCTGTAGAGCTTTAAGAGCACTAGAGGTCACTCGCTGGCAAGCCAACATTCCTTCTCCACTGCAACAGCGGGCAGAGTTAATCTCCTAAAGTTGTGAAGCAGGGGAAATTTGTCTTTGGCAATCTTAGCTTTCTTTGCCCTTCTCCCCTGGGCATACAATACCCAAGGTGCCCTGACCATTCAGAACCCCACACCATGGTACATACAAGACAGCTTTCTTTCCATGTAAGGTTGTGATTATAAAATTCCCTTCTTTTCTCACCCAGCAATTACCCCTTTATTACTCCACCTCTAGCTGGTTGATAGGTTTGAGAAATGGGGTATAAAAGGGTTGTTTAAGGAGTAGTTGAAATGTTACCACTTGTGAAAAGAACTCAATTTGATTAGGTAGAATGGTTGCCTTACCTAGTTTAAAATGACTAAAGTCTGTCTTACTGTTTGCAGGACAAAACCAAAAAACAAAACAAAACAAAAACCTCTAACAATCTCCCCCCAAAACCACAAAAACAAAACCTCCAAACATATACACATAAAACGTCTTAATTATAGATTACACATTGGAATTTGTGGAGAAACCATTTTTATCAATTTTCACTTCTTTTCGGCAAAAAGCATTGTACTATGGAAAAAATCGAGCAGATTGACTTTCTTCTCCCTTCCTATGGTCATTTTGGTGTCATTGGCAGAACAGTTGAGATCATCTTAAAACTGTTTTGGACAAAGATAACTTGCTATATTAATATATTCTTTTCTCACTGTAAACGTTACAAAATGTAAATCATGTATACTTTAACAAAAAAAATCTTTGTTACAAGAGTTGATTTGGTGATACATAAGTTGATTATTGCTATTTTTAGTTTTATTAATTTGTTGAAAGAATATTTAATATTTAAAAAACTACCTGTGACTTAGGTTCCAAAATGAGGATACATATTGGTCAATACTTGACCAAGATTCAAAAATGGAAATGCTTATTCAAGCATTTATTCAAATGCTTCCCACATCACAGTATAGGTAGAAAATATTAATATGTGTATTGCACAATGATGTAAGGTGGAGCCATCTAACCTGGAGGCTCTGCCTGCACCTAGCCTAACCTAACTGCCCCAGGGATTGAAGGGAATCATCTCAGCATACTCCATTCAATGGGCAACCTGGTTGGAGAGGATAAAATGCTATTCAAAATGTAGCCTTCACATCAGCAGCAGCAGCAGCACCCGGGAGCTTGTTAGAAATGCAGAATCACAGCTCTATCCCAATTTACTGAATCAGAATCTGCATTATTATAAGATGCCCAGGTGATTTACGTGCACACTAAAATTTGAGAGCACTGATCTAGAAAATAGTGGATAATATTACTAGACTGCTTGGAGGCAAAATAGATAATCATTAACATGTTTTTTACCTTGCAAGAAGTTGTGCATTTCCTGCCTGGGATCTGAGATTTGCTCTTGTAACTTTTCTGGCAGCATGGAGCTCTCTCTCTATATAGAAAGTATATGTAGAGTATTTTATATATATATGTGTGTGTGTGTGTGTGTGTGTGTGTGTGTGTGTGTATTCAGTATTCTGTGAAATGTGCAGCACAAAAATGCATGGTCTACTTAAACCAAACATTCTTTTGAGTATGGAAGATAAACAAGCTTGCACCTAACAGTCATCTCCTTCAAGCTTCAAATATGCTTCTTGTGTGGCAGAGGACCGGTGGGCCAAGATCACATTCTCTAGAATCTGTTGCAGCTCTTATATTATGGAAGTATGTAGGTTTCAACAAACCCTTTATGTAAGATTTGGAAAGCTGTTTCTCTGATAGGTACAGATGTGGAAGCAATTTTTTCTTCTGTAGCAGAGTTACCAGAGGTGTCATTGTTCAGTCTTCCTAACGTTCAGTTTTGTGAACGTTAGGAAGCATGGGTGGTGCATCCATTTTGTTGGTTCAGATTGCAGGTGGTATGGTGTAATTCTGGAGCTTGCTGAGGAAGTGACAGCTTCTTGATTCTGGTAGCTTCCAGACAGTGGCCGAAGTGCCATAGTTCTGAAGATGTCAAGCTTCTCAAAAAGGAAGAGCATATCTCTTTTGGTGTTAGGTCTGAGGTGTGGTTTTGAGAATTGCTCCCTTAATATTCTCAATTATTCTTTTCTAGTGTATTACTAACTGGAGTGTACTCTG